AAAGATATGATATCATATCCCTAACCATAAATAAATATTTCCGTGTAAATTTCCACATCAAGAACTCTGTGGTGACAGAAATGAAATGAAATGTAATGGAGTTTTAACGTCCTACTGTTCTGCTCCTAACCTGGGCTAATGAAGACGGGCATACGCCATACAGTGTGCTATGAGGGAAATTTTGCCCGGACAGCGGCACTACGGCCTACTCTTATATCGAATTCCAACTGCCAAGAGATCTTTTACGTGCACGCCAATGTGTAGACGGGACCTCGGTTTTTCGTCCCATCCGAACGACTAGACAGCTTTCCTTGTCAGCCCCTCCGTCCTGCATCACTGACAAGGGAGAACCACGCCGGAAAATCTGGATGAACTTTCTCGGCCAATGCAGGGATCGAACACCCAACCTCCAGGCTAGCGAGCTAGCGTCTTACCCACTTAGCCACGTGATCCCCCTGTGGCGACAGAGAATGTAAGTAATATTGTTATAATACATTATTAAAGGTGTACTGTTTTGTTGACATTGACAATAAATTCGCGTTAACAAAATAGTTTATAAAGTCTAGTATTGATGGCGATATTAGCGACCTTTGATTTTGGCTTGCTGTCGTACTGTTGTCTTTTGGCCTCAGAAGTCAATGTAGTCTCTACTTTCAAGGTCACTTTTCGACTTTCGTGTTTTGAAGGGGCGAAAAGTAGAAATTATGAATGGTAGTTATAGGCTTCCATAAGATTGTAAGACAAAATAAACATTTTACCATTGGTTCACGAATGCCTTTAAGTGCCATTTATAACAAGGGACTAGAAGGACGGGGCTAGATATATTCCACAAGTAACTCAAACGGTTACGTCATATTCCTATCTGGAGAGCATGCGCAATAAATACTAAATCAGTTTATGTACATTCATATTACATTATTATTTGTGTTGCGAACCATTTGTGTCAATTTCTAGGTCCTAAATATTAGCGATTTAGCTCTTTTAAATAACAAATACATGTAGATTGTTTTGGGGTGACCTTTTCCCTGTATGTAAATAATCAGTAAATTTTCATATTTTTGCACCAAAATAGATAATTTTGGATCAAATTTTCTTTTACTGATAATTGATAAGTTCGTAAATAGTATTGTACGATGGATCAATAGGCCATTAATATTTCGATATTGGCCCCTTTCTATAGAAATCAATATATAATTGGCAAGAGTTATACAATCGTAATGTGCTCAACAACCCTTGTTTTACTTATGAATATTTATCTCCCCAAGAAAAAGTTCCAAAATCATTTAATTGGTTAACATCAAATTGGTCAATATCAAATTATATGAGTAAAATAATGTAAGATATTTTATACCCTGGCTTAGACAAGCTGCTGTAGATATTTCATCAAATTAATAAGCTTATTATTACATTATGTAATATTTGAATCAATTTTTTTTAATTTTATTAAATTGTTATTAAATTTGTTTATTTCTGTGTTTAATTTGATTAGTTTTTCTTATTCTCTTATTCAAATTTCATAGAATCTGATTCCAAACCCATCTAGCTTTAGTGTTACATTCTAAATATAGAGCAGTGTAATATGACACTTATACAATACACCATCTGAATAGATAATAATTGGGCTACAATTTATTGTCTTTGAGAGGTTGATGACAGGATTCTCTTCAACAAATCTTTGAGGTCACATTCCCAAACTTGAAGAAATCTGGCTGATTTCTAGTTGGTCTTAAGACTGAGTAGGTGGGCAGACTGGGCACGCTAATGTCCTAGATATTCAACATGTAACCATAATATCGTGTATATAATAACCCCCATAACTTTTGGATTAAGAAAAAAGCATAGAGTTAAGTGCCGCGCTGTTCCAACGGCGCGGAGAGCCTTCCCCAGATTCGATTAGGCGCATTCTGATGTATATTCCGAGCGAGAAACGCAAGTTAATGACACATGTATAGTGCACAATTTTTTTGGTAATAGATCATACATTTCTTAAGACAAATATTCACTAATAAAAGGCTATATGAGCCACCACCACCACCTTCACGATCAAGTACTTATTTTATGTATGTAAAAGTATTTATTAACAGGTGTTTTGGTCCTTTTGAACAAACTACTTAACTAAGTTTCTTGTCAGACTCTTCGTTCAGCACCATTGATAAGCAGAAAGCACACGGCCAAATCCCAGGATCATTCTCGATGACAAATATCCGGGAGCTTTCTCGCCCATCACCGGTGTCGACCGAGAGGAGAACTCAACGTTAGTGAGCCAGTGCCTACTGACAGATCCACCGTGGCTCTCAGATCATCTTTAAATATTTTTAAATATAAATTACATTTTATTCTGTATGGATTCACACTCATGCTGTGCTTTGTTTTCGCATATCGTAAAACTAAGAACTAAGCCCTTGAATCAACAGGAAGTAATTTATCAGTCTTTCTCTTGAAAGGGATTCTTGTGTAAATAAAGCTAAATGAGCGAAATGATGAACAGACAAAAACGTATGTTTTCGAATAACATCATTTTATTAAGTTCCACGGATGAAAACACGAGGAACTGTTGTTGATCTGGTAAAAAAAAGGCCAGGGTTCTGTTTTGATATCTAAAACAGTAATCGAATGAACAACACAATAAGTGTGTGAGGTTAACCCAATAAAGACAAATTGAATAGAAAATATTGCTAGCAGTCGTATTTGTGTCTTCTTCAATCCTTAATTCAGACATCGATTCAATCAATGTTATGGTGCTTGGATGCGAGGACTAGACCAATCTTAAATGTCGCCGCTGGAATGACTTTAATTTCTCCATTGTCAACTTTAACCCTTTAGATGTGGATTTTAATGGTAGCAGCCAACCATAAACGACCATGATCAGTAGACAATTTAATTTAATCGGTAAACAGTAATCATTCATGAAAAATAAATTCAGCACAGCAAACCGATCTATTGGTTGAGAATAAAACGAAAAGAAACTAAATGAGATATCATTTGTGTTCGGAGTCTTCAATTATTCATTGATTCTTTCACCAAGCGGTGTTAAAACGTTTTTGATACGAGAAGATTTTTAAGGAAATTACCACTTTCAGTAATAGTATTAGGCAAACAATTATAATATCATTTACCTTTTCCTTCCATCAACTATAATTTGTCACCTGTTTTTAACGTGTTGTGTTTCAAGGAATTGATGCTTAAATCGTTTAAACGTATTTTATAACATGATTGATCTTAATGTTTTAGCAAACATGGTCGTTTCGTTATAGTGATCAGTTTTTTGACACTTTATTTATATCCAGCCTCAAGTCGTCGTTGTTGGGGAGCAATACCGTTTGAAGAAAAAACATTTTCAAGGAAGTTGAAAAATATACGCTGAATATAAAATAAACCCTAACAAAAAAGACTGGTCGTTAAAAGAAGACGAATCATTTACAAGTGAAACCATTAGAATTCCAGTGGTTATGGTTAAAAGCTAATGTCGACTTTTCAAAAACAAAAAAGCTTGTCACTGTCAGTTAATAACAGAGAGAGAGAGAGACAAATGGGATTTAACGTCCGTTCGACACAAACTATGTCATTTCGGGACTAACATATGGTTTAATTTTATTTCAATAATTCGCTTGAGCGTAGGGGTCTTTAGCAGTTGGACAGGTGACCCTACTCCTTGTCACGTACAACCGGGGATTCGAAACCACGCCAGTTGATCCAATGACAGGCTTTATGATACAGCGCGCACGTGCTAACCATTCGGCCATCCAACCCCCCGCCAGTTAATAAGGTTTAAGGTGTGGTTAAATTGGAGAATTATTGTTTACAGTTACAATCTGTAGTATTCATTATTCAATATAAGTACTTTTTACCTGCCAAATTGATAAATTAGGTCAGCGATTAAATACAAGCGATTTGTTATATTATTGAGCCAATCTTTATTAGTCTGGATGGGGTAGAAAAAAGTAGGACGTTAAACGTTATTTTATTCATAATTGAACTTTGTATGTTTAATTGTATTTTCCAAAGTATTGGTCGTGAGCGTAATATCCTAAATTAAACGGGACAAAATATTCACGTGGTTGGTTTCAATCTCTATACCTCCACTTCACGTATAATAATCTAGTAACTAGTTATTATGGTCCCTGGAAGTCTTGTAATATTTCGGCTTATATTCGCCGTTTTATTAATTACATTTCCACTTTTGGAGTAGACCTGTCAAATCCATACACATACATAGTCCACTGACTAGCCATTATCGGTCCTGGAAATCTTGGAATATATTAACCTAATAATTGCCGCTGTTATTGGTTTTATTAATTACATATCCGCCTTTGGAGTATAGCAGCACAAACCTCACACATGCACATTCATCGCCCAGTGCCTAGGCATTATGGTTCCGGGAAGTCGTCTTGGGATATTTTAGCGCATATTCGCCGCTTTAATTAGTTTCATTACAAAACACAACCATACACATTCATGTATGGGTTATCGCTTACCAAAATCTATCCCACACACACGTGCATGCATGTATGGGTCATCGCTTTACAAATTTTATTTTGCCCGCAAGCAGATCAATAGGGTATAAATGGGTATCAATATTTAAAGTGCGCCGAGCTGTAAAGTATATAGCCATACGACCTCTTGTTGAATTGTCTCATTTGTTTTCAGCGAGACTGATCGATAATCTAGCTATGAATAGATGATGGCACTCGATCAGGCTTATAATTACTTGGAACAACGGTTTTGCAAAGATGCAAGCCCTTAAAGAAAATGTCGCTCGAATCTCTTGAGCTCCGTTTAGCATAGACTAGAACATTACAAGTGTGACTGAGGATTCTAGAGAAACTTTTCATCCACGACTGGCTGAATGCACACTTCTTGTGAATTGTATCGGTATGTGTAGAATCGCGGTACGAATCCAAAGTGTTTCTATGACGACTAGAATGCTGGCTGTAGCGCGAGGGGAGATATCGACCAATGACAGTGAAGCGTGTGTACGATATATCTTGTGAAATGTTCTACCATTCGTCAGTTGAAGTCAGAACGGGATTTGAGTTTACTACAAGCCTTTATAAATGAAACTGTGAATTGAAATATCAGCTCTTAAGCTTCGGCATGGATATTACAAGTTCTCGGTGAATACACATCTATAGTGATCAGTTTTTGACACTTTATTTATCTCCAGCCTCAAGTGGTCGTTGTTGGGGAGCAATACTTTTTGACGAAAAGACATTTTCAAGGAAGTTGAAAAATATACGCTGAATAAAAAACCCTAACAAATAAGACTGATCTTTAAAAGAAGACGAATCGTTTACAAGTGAAAACATTAGAATTCCAGTGGTTATTCTTCTTTTAACAAAAGACGATTAGCAATTTAAATGTTATTAAAACAAGGCGCCTTGAAGTTAAAAAAGAAAATGGATGTGTCTTCATTGCTTGGTTAAAAACAATCAATAGCATATTAAAGATTCCTCTTCTAACGAAGGTGGTCTGCTGGTGTCGACAGCTTTGTCGATATTTCTTACTTTAAATTGGAGATCTCGCGTTTTCAGAAAGACATAATTCACAGGAGCTGTTAGTGTTAACCACAGATAGCCAAGAATTGCGTGTGATTACGTCACCGGTATCCTAACTTCGGAGGAGAGAGACTTATGAAATAACTGAAGGGATTTCAATTTTAATTTAGAGAATTCCAATTATCCCCGACGGATACGATTACACACGTTTTGTTAACTCTGAAATATTGCTTAAACATTAATGGATAATTTTTTTTACGATATACGTCTTAAATGTGTTGGTATTTTCTACTGGAGATAAGGTTATTGGTTTTCACGGCTACTAACTATCTGTAGCAGTTCTAACGTGTTGAGAAAGCATTCTACTGTCGGCTGCAAAAAAGAACTAAATATTGAGGTGAAGAGTTGAACATTGCCACTTGTGAGGGAAAACACTCGGGAATATATTTTGATTGAGCTTCATGGATGGATACATAAACCAGTCGAGTAATTTAAGCAACAGTTGTTGATCAACATTGAAACGCTTTTCAGGAAAAGAATACAGAGACGAAAGCACTCACTGACATTTTGTATGGCCCGAGCTACTTGATAATTTCAGGTTGTATTTATTAGTTTTAGGGGCAACGTGCAAGCATAGTCACTACTGAGAGTCAATTGTCCATCGCGGATGATAAATGGAAATTTATTTCTAGAAAGACAATTCTTTAAATTGAAGGTTGACGTTAACTCGCCTGAGATACGATAATTGCTATTGTTCGTGACGCGAATTTCCTCCTTCGATTTTTACTGTGGTTGAATTTACGCTGTTATTATTTTTTACCCACCAAAACGAATTTACAATTTAAAGAGCTCTGTTGATGGGATTTATGAGTATTTTGTTTCATATCAAAGACCAATTTTCCACAGCTGTTTCGTATTAGACGAGATAAAATTACACTTTACGTAGAAACCGTCTTTTGCTTCCTTTCCCTGGAGCATACAATCTGGTGTGTGTTATTTAGGTAAAGTATCTATGATCGCGTGTTTATACTTTTTCCAATTCATTTAGCGATAAATCGAGATCTTAAGTGCATTTCGTAATAAGTGCTTTATTTTTCATCTTTGTATTCCGATTTGAAAGCAGGTGTATAAGTGCTTTTGAAACAAGAACAATTTCGAAAAAGTAAATTGATATTTATTGACTCGTTTGAGGAGGATATGAACAGAAGCTAGTCGAATTGTTTTTAGTTTCGCTGATCAATTTGTGTGTTATATTCGTAATTGTTTTCAAAATGTCCTGCAAAACAAATTCTACAGACAAGTCGGAAATTCTGGAGTTAAATGTAGGAGGCGTGTTCTACACCACAACGTTAGATACGCTATGTAAAGAACCGACGGGACTGCTAGCTCAAACATTCTCGCCAGAGTCGTCCACGAACAACCTGTTGCGGGACTCTAAGGGTAAATATTTCATTGACAGAGACGGGGTGTTGTTCAGATATGTGCTGGATTATCTCCGAAATCTCAAAATTGTCCTGCCAGAAAATTTTCAAGAAAAGGAACGCTTAAAACTAGAAGCCGAATATTTCCAGTTACCGGAAATGCTAAAGGGTTTGCTGATGACGGCATCCTCTTCACAACTCTCCCCGCTCAGCGCTGCCTGTCTTACGGGATATTCCCCAGCGAACATACCCATCTCCTCTGGTAAACCACCCGGATATATTAGCATTGGCTATCGAGGTACCTTTGCTTTTGGCAGAGATGGTCTTGCTGATGTTAAATTCAGAAAATTGAGTCGAATTATTGTCAGTGGGAAGGTTTCGCTGTGTCAAGAGGTTTTTAAAGAGACACTGAATGAAAGCCGAGATCCTGATCGAGGAGGACTGGATCGTTACACAGCCCGGTATTTTCTTAAACACACATTTTTGGAACAAGCATTCGATGCCCTACAAGAGGAGGGGTTCGTAATGGTTGGGTCAGCTGCATCGGGAACCAACGGAGCTGGAGAAATGAAACCAGGTTTGGATACCGAGGAAGCGAAATGGCAACATTACAACGAATTCGTCTTTGAGCGACGCTGAGAGAATAAGGCTTAGATTGCTTCTGCACTTTTCAACTTATGTCGCACTCCATGTTGGCAGGGGTCGTATCCAGTACGTCAACATGTCAAAGTAATTTGATTTTGAGGACATTCTCGAAGGAATACGCCGAATGAAAATAAAGCGTCAAGAGTTTGACAAATTACTTTGATTACATTCCAACTACTGAATCTGGAACAACTCTTATGTATTTATAGCGGATAATGGACGCGGGGTGGCTTTCTTCTTCTTTTTTTTCCTTTTTTTGTGTCTGGTGTTTTTACAACTAAACGACTCCTCTTCTTAACTATAAACATCTCAAGAGATTCGAGGAGAACTGTGAAGTTATTTGTATAGAAAAAAAAAGTTGCACTACAATAATTGTACATATGATTTTTTTCCATGTTGTGATGAAACAAATTAAAACAATAACGGCCGTATATAATCAGATATATTCGTGTGTGTACAATATATCTGGTGATAGCCGTGACAATAAGTGTTCCAATTTTCAAATAAACAGACCAGTGTCCATCCACCTTCTATGAAGGAATTAAGTTTTTTTTTTCTTTCGTGTGTGCGAATGGACCCGTAGGAAACAAGCTAGATTTGGATTTGATTCAACTAAACGTGTGTGCGTGATTAGAAATATAGGGAAACCATGCGAGGTAAAGTGCATGAATCACTCTTTATACCATCTGAATGAGTTAATGAAGAGTATGGTATATAAACTTATATAAATATAGATATATATAGTAGTTATTATTGTTATATTATAGACGTATTTATTATATATGAAGAACTACAATTAAATAGTAGAACACTAATAGATAATGTTTTGTTATTAGAACGGATAAATAAAAAAAACTAAGCTTTGACATTTTCTCAGCTCATCTCTTGTGTTATGATCGTTCGTTCGTTGGCCTTACCGTCTGCTTCCACCCAGGGTGGTATAGCAGACAACTTTTTTTCTTTTTTTTTTTGTATTTTGTAAAATATGTCCCTTTTTATTAACTGACGACTATCAATGAATGGCCCTGTATCATCAATGAACGAATCACATCAATTTCCGTCTACCCATCTGGCACAAAGTCCTGTCGCTTTATAGACCCTAGCTGAGGATTAACTTCCGCTTACATCCATAGTGATATCGTATACATGGATTTATTGTTATAACTATTTGCCGTTTGTATTGGTCTTCATCGTACGAAATCTTGATATGCATGTACATGTCTGTGGTCTGTCCAACTTTCAACCTATAACCCGTATCTCGACCATTTTGTCTGTTTAAACGTGATCTGGATTAACCGGAGACGGCAAAACGGGTCATGATTATTTTGTCGCTATGATCGCCTTTGTTCAACATCTGAACTAACCTGGAACGACAACAAAGGTCTCGATCAATTGGTCTCTTTGAATTTAATTGCGACACCTTGTTTGAAATAATATGGATTTACTTTAGACTCATCTACAAAATATAAATCCAACAATTTTCAACAAACTATTAAAAGAGCGATATGGAAAAACACACTAGACACTCCCTGTTTGAAAGTTTGTGGGGTGTTGTCATGAAATAGATGCTAAGATCATTAGCACCGAATTAGCACAAACGTCACAAATTAGCCACCAAAAGGCGAGGAAATAGTCATCCGCTCCGGTTATTGTTAGATTCTTGGCGGAAGCGGACGTGAAATAATTAAAAACACATACATTTATCGGTTATTAGTGTTTGTTCGTTCCTAATAAAGACGTAAAGAATCGTTGAAGTGAAAAGATTGTTACATTTATAGTTCTTTTTTAATGTTTCCGGTAAATCGAGAGTTTTAACAGAGATGTCACGATCAGTTTTAAAGAGACAATATGATTGAGGCTAGGATTTTCAACGGTTTGTCGTTCGTGGTTTGAATACTGGGTCAACCCAATGTTGTTTTAATCTGCAATCTTCAACTAGCTTAGTTAAATGTATATAATCTTTCTGTTGGTTCCGCTTACCATACGTGCGATCCCAGGCTTATTCGATCGCCTCTCTAACCACGCGGGTTTTCTCAGAAAACTCCGCCCATCGCCACCCCCTCCGGACTGCTAAAGACCCCTACACGCTAACTAATTATTGAATAGATATGTATCATATTATGCTAGTCCCGAAATTACCCAGTTTGTGTTGAGTGGTCTTTATACGCCATTTCTCTCACATACTCCCGCTTGGCCAGGATCAGTATGGCTTGACAACCAAGAAAACCAAAATATTCTGCTCGGTCAACCAGGTCTTTCTAAACTTGAGCGATATGCACACAGAACAACCCTTTGCATATTTATTATTAATTTTAAAGGAGCTAAGTCTCTAACTCAGTATCATCCAAAATCTTCAACATTGAAAACACGATTTATTTGTCAAATTAAATCAACATTCATGTTGTGATCTTACCGGAAAAAGATGGGCTTTTGATATCCAATATTTAAGACAAAATAAACATTTTACCATTGGTACACGAATCGTGTACCATAATGCGCTTCAGCCCCAGTTGTATCAAGAGACTCGAGGGACGAGGCTAGACACATTGCACCAAATCAAACGGCGTATGTAGACTGGAATAACCAGACGCTAGAAATTTGCACTCGCTTGAGACTGCTGGCTTATTTTGCCGAACATAACTGATTTGAAATTGTAGTAAAAACGGAAACCATTGAATGTAAATCAGTTTATATACATTCATATTACAGTATTATATGCGTTGCGACCCACTTTTGTCAATTTCTAGGTCCCAAATGTTAGCAATTCAGCCCCTTTAAGCGATCATAACAACAGTGATAAAAAAAAATAAAAACAACCACGTATAAATTTACAGCTTCTATAATTAATTAGTTCATTAATCGCCTCGCTTGTGACTATAAAGAGAAGTTAGCGTTTTAATGATACTTCCTGGTCGATTAAAAAATATACACCCGATTTTGACCTTACCCTTGATTAGGCGCATTGTAGCCATTGGTGGTTTTCCAGGATTTCAGTTGACGTTAGTGCAAAATACTTTGTTCAAATTATGCCTTACGACAAATTTTCAATTCCTTAGGTCAGTTTAGAGTTATTTGTAAATTGTACATTTATTTTCTTAAAGGCACAATATGGCACACTTAAAGACACATTCAAATCTTCATTCAATACACATTAACAATAGTCTAATCGAAAGCAAAATTAACTAAAAATCGACCAATCCTAATACAATTTATATTCATTTAAATTTCCTATTCATGGCGTCATCTGGTTGTGTATCAGAAATCAGTCAGCTAGGAATATTTATGTTTTGTGACTTAGTATAAAACTAAGTATATTAAAAATAAAAACCCACGAGCGTTTTGCATGAACAAACAAAAAATGTTATGGAAAAATAAATTGATAAAAGACGTGAGAAATTGTAAATTAACTCAAACATAGAGTTTCTTTTGTTGCCATAAACAATGGCGCGGAGTTGGGGTTTTTTTTCAGTTTATTACCGTTATAATATGTTTACGTTCCCGGGACCTAATATATTTGTTCGTGTCTTTTGACCCGGAAAACCAAAATTAATAATGTATAATAACATAAAAAATATATCTTTCTGCTTTCTGCGCGCTTAAAAGACAGCCAAATTAACTTTTCAACTTACATAAATACCATTGTTTTGTGTGTTCTTGAAATAGTTGAAAGCAACCCCAGTGTTTGTCAATATAATTGCTTTTTTTCAATTGATCTACGATGAATTATAAACAATATGATATTCTTTTTTATACTGAAACCCTAAAAATCAATATGCTTCCAATTATTGTGGTTCTTCGTCAGTCTTCTTTAACATTAAACGAATGGTCTTTGAGGATTTTATTACCTTTTAATTCATAAGTAAATCAATAATCCATTTCAACGAACTACGTTATTTTTATTATATAGTTAAAATCAATATACTATGAATTGAAATAATCGGTTTGGAGATTTGTTAATATTATTATTATCATTATTTATGACGCAGGAGCTTATCAGTTCCATGATGGTGTCCCATTGCGTGAATATAGCTTTAGGGGTATTTGATTGTAGATTAAACCGACTATAAATGATAAATATGAATAAAAGTCTACTCTCGTGAATCAATATTGTGTGGATTAAAACCGATTTGTTGCAACATATTCAGGTTCATTAAGCATTATAGCTTATATATAAAAATAAAAATACAGGTTCGTTAAGCATTATAGCTTAAACAAAATTAAAAATAATGATATGTTTATCATCTATAAAAGGATGCTTTAATCGTAATAATAATAGCAGGTGTTCATATTTTACTAGTAAGATAAAGCAAGCAAAGGACAATAAAGGTATAAAAGTGCTATAGAACTGTACTCAGCCTTAAAGAAACTCCATTTCCTGTCCATGCATGACTTCAATCAATGCGGTGTCGGTATCTGCTTGCATCCATATCAATTAATCAATCAATCTTAATAACATTTCTCATTGTAGTAAAATTTATGTGTTATGTGTTAAGTCGATGTCAGAAGATTATGTGTAATCGCCTTAATGACAAGTCAAGGAACATTTCTCATTGTAGTAAAACTCATATAACGAATTAAGTCCAAGATTTCATTCAAAATTATAATGTATTACGCGAATGCTGTGTTAGTATCTGCTTACAGCGATTTCAAAAGAATATCTTTACTCATTTAGATAACTTATTAAGGCAAATAATATTTCTGTATTTTGCCCGGTGTCCGTACCAACAACTGACAGATCGGGTTAAAAATGCTGCTTATAGTCAACCGACAAGTTTTAAAGAAAGATAAAAATAAATTAACTAATTAGACCAGGACAGTTCCCCAAGCCCTACTGGTCTTGTTCTTGTTGTTGTTCTTGGTGGGGGCGCTCTACGAAATAAAGCCAAAGGGTCCACCAATTCATGAACTATCGACATGAAACTTGGCATGCCTGTTTCTTGGACAATTGCGCGTCGATTGATAGCCTTCGATGTTTGATATGCCGTCCAAATGTCAAGATGGCTACGGTGACATGATAGTTCCTGGTCCATAATACATTATCGACACCAACATAGGACGACGAGTATGACACTATATGTTATTTTAATAATATAATTAATATCGTTACGTCTCTTTGTTGAACACATTTGTTTTACACGAGATGAGGAATTCACTTACCTAAATGATTATTGTTACGCTTTCGTTATTAACGAGGTAATGGAATACCAGTTAAACGTTTTAGCTTTCAGACAAAAACAACTGCCAGCATCCATCTATTTTAAGAGCAGAGCAGACTTATTGTTGTTACATAAAGACTATGTTCTGAATAATTAAAAAACTACACGACTTATAAATACATGTAAGAAGGTCAAACTAACACGTCTTCAGTCTTATCTATGGCTATTCCTTGCTAAAATACATGTCAAATCGGTCTGAGATGATTAATCAACTTGCTGTTAGTTCACTAGTTACTGGCCTGTCTCTCTACATCACAGTGGAAAATATTATTTTTATATGTACGTCCAAGCCCCAGAAGGATTTAATAGAAATTTTATCCCCTTTTATTGTTGGGAGCCATGAATAAGGTGGTGGCTCACTAAGAACGATGTCGCGGTGTTAGCTTAGAAAGTTGCTTGTCAGCGCCTGTTAGGTCGTTTGGATGGGACAGAAAACCGTTGGCGTGTACGTTAAAAAACTCTCGACAGTTGTAATTTGATGTTGTCCGGACAACATTTCCCCCATAACATACTGCATTGTGTTATGCCCGTCTTCTGTTGCCTCATTTTTATACGCCCACATTGAAATGTGGTCGTATATTGTCGTCGCCCCCGTCCGT